TTTCAAACTAAAATGTTCAAAATCCAGTGTAAAGTTTTTTGGATCACCTAACTCCTTATTCTTGCTGGAGTACACATACTGAGTATCCTTCTAGCCTTAGAGGAACACTTGGCAGTACATAATTGGTGGTCCTTATCCAAAAGACATTAAGTCCTTTGAAATTACATTTGAAGGTTCTGCTGTCAGCCTCAGCCCTTGACTTTTAGCTGTAATAAACTTGTCCTAACAGTGATGCAGCTAGTAACAAAACAAAAGGAATCAGATTTCAGTATAAAAACAGGAACAACTGAAATGTAAGGAACCTTTTATTTAAAACGTTTTTTATAAAACGTTGAAACATAAAGTTCACTAAATTTTTTGGTAGAGTTGTTAAGGATGTCAAAAAATTAAAAATGAACTTTCTTTGGACTTTGAAATTATTTAATAAAAGTGAATGCATTATAAAAAATTTTATGCAAAAATTATCTTCAAGGGATGACAAGCTGAAAATCTCACAGGAATTTAGATCCCTCCTCCCCTGCCCCACACATACACCCCTCTACCTTTTTTTGGTGTGTTAAGCCTTCTTAAAGCTTTTCTGAATGAGTTATAACAAAAACAAAGTTGCTGGTACTAAAGTGTGAATGATTGCTGTTAAAAAATTACTCTACCTAAAATAAGTTTTACTCAGAACTTGGACATCTGCATAATAATGTTGCCTGTCATGTTAGGATTAAAAATTAGACATAGCACTTGCTCAGCTTCCAGCTTTCTGGGGGGAAGACAGGAGTACAGACATGGAGGAAGTGGGATTTGTACCTGGTCTGTCTGACCCAGAGCCTTGTTCTCCCCACTATAGCACGCTGCCTTCTTCCATAGAGTGGACATTTTACTGAGTACATGTTGAATGAAATCACTAATCCAGGAGAAGCAAAAATTATCCTTAATGATGTCTCATTGAGATTACAGGATACCTGTGCTACTGCTGATCCTCAGTGCTTTATGTGGTGTCTGGTACACCAGAGGTGCTCAAATATCGTTGAATGAATATGCATCAAAATGCCATTTTGTGCTCTTATTTGTGTTAGTGTTTATGTTAACAGAGTGTATGTATTTTTACTCATTTAATTGAATTGTGACTGTAGCTACAGATATACCTGTCATATTGGTTTTCTGTGTAGTTGTATTAATTTTGGTTGCTGACCATAAAAAACTGCTTTCATCTAGGTAAGAAAGGGTCATTGGAACTTTAAGCTTTTTATATCATTATTTCAAGCATGGGCTATTTAATACTTGAAAGTTTTTATAGATTAACTGTTGGCTTTCTCATGGACTCTTATTTGGAAGAAAAATGTAAGGTTATCTAGTCAAACTTATCTCCTGATGCTTAAATAAGCATCACCACCATGCCAACAGCCACTGTTACTTTCATTAATTATTACATGCCAAGCACTATATATTTTACACGTTGCCTCTGAATGCTCATGTATGATATGTTCTTCACGATATTATTGTCCCTAGTTTAACAGTTCAGGAAACTTAGGATCAATGAGGATAAGCAAGTTGCCAAAAGTGGCAAAGCTAGATTGGAACCCAGGTCTGTCTGACCCAAGGCCTATGTTCTTTTCACTGTACCATACTATCCTAAATAACATCTTGTTCCTGGCTTTAATATGGGCACTCATTATTCTCCCAACAAGTTTGTTTCATTTTTGAACTATTCTTTTTAATATAAAGTATTATTTTGGAGGTCATAATCTATACCTCTGCCTCTTTCTTTCCCTTTTTTTTTTTTTTTTTCTGAGACAGAGTCTTACTCTGGTGCCTAGGCGAGTGCTGTGGCGTCAGCCTAGCTCACAGCAACCTCAAACTCCTGGGCTCAAGCGATCCTCCTGCCTCAGCCTCCCAAGTAGCTGGGACTACAGGCATGTGCCACCATGCCCAGCTAATTTTTTCTGTATATTTTTAGTTGTTCAGCTAATTTCTTTCTATTTTTAGTAGAGACGGGGTCTCACTGTTGCTCAGGCTGGTCTTGAACTCCTGAGCTCAAGCTATCCTCCTGCCTCTGCCTCCCAGAGTGCTAGGATTGTAGGTGTGCCCAGCCCCTCTGCCTGTTTCTCTAGGATTTATTATTCATTAAAGGTCTCTCTAAATCCTACAGAAATGACTATAGACCTAGAAATCTCATGCTACTGAAAATGGGGTTGGGTCAACATTTTTGTGTATTTTTTCACCTTTTGAATAAAGTTGTATTTTTGTGTGGATTTGTTTAATATAAGTCTAATTACAGCATAATTTTGTATCCTGTGTTTGGTTATTTGAGTCTCTGTCCTGAAAATTTTTTCCACTTTCTTTAGTAGTCTTTATTTATAAATACAATTTCTAAAGGCCACATGACAGTGAATTCTGTGGAGTAGATTTACCTTAGTTTACTTAGCAACTCCCTGTCTACCAGGCATCCAAATTATAAATAACACTTTGATAAATATCTTTGTGGATACATTGCTTTTTGTATTTAGGTACATGCCGAACATGATTCCTCACAGTTCTGTACAGATAATCTGAGTTACAGAGGTTTGAAATGTTGTACCTACTTGAAACACTTGATCTGGCTTCCAGAAAAGGCACAGTGGTTGTGATTTTAAGATGGTAGCAGGTCTCATCATAAGCTACCTTCATTTCACCAGGCCTACATCTCTTGCTATGGAACTTTATGTCTTGGAGGAGATGGGATAGGCCTGCAGGTGAGAAAAGGGATGTGTGGTCTTATTTGATCTTGAGGAACAGGATAAAAAGCAAGTAGAAGTAAGTAAACTTAGATACTCTCTTAATTACTACCACAGGAATTGAAGAGTTTTGGGACTGAAGAGTGAACATTTTATTTCTCTGTACAGCTTATTAAATGTTCTTTTTAAGTTCAAATTGCATAGGAACTTATTTTTAAGTAGAAGATAGATTCTGAAGGTTTATGTATACAGATTAAAAATTGAGGCTAAAATTGGATCTTATTTTGGCTTTGTGATATAATACATAGGATTTCTAGTGCTTTTAATATTTTCCTCTCCTTTATCCAAAGTCAGTTCCATACATTAAAAATATGTGGGCCGGGCATGGTGGCTCACGCCTATAATCCTAGCACTCTGGGAGGCCGAGGCAGGTGAATTGTTTGAGCTCAGGAGGTCGACACCAGCCTGAGCAAGAGCGAGACCCCGTCTCTACT